TGTAGGCTAATGCAACAAAAATGCTAAGAATGAAAAAATAATGACCTATTTCAACATACACAAAGTATGCTAAGAAAAACGATGTTGCTTTACAAAGATGCTAAATTTCAATAACGCTGGATCTCTTAGATGAAATTATTGAATCCTAAATTTTCGGAACAGATTGTTAATCAGATGAAATACACTCACAGAATAATTGGAGATACCACAAGCGAATACCATATAACCTAATTGGCTACAAGTAGAATAAGCAATAACCCTTTTTAAATCATTTTGTAAAATTCCTGTAGTTGCCGGAAAAAAGGATGTCATAGCTCCCACAAAAGTAATCACAATTAAAGCCTTGGGTGCGTATTCAAATAAGGGAGAACACCTTGCCATCATGGAAACACTTGCTGTTACCATAGTAGCTGCATGAATCAGAGCTGATACTGGAGTAGGGCCCTCCATAGCGTCCGGTAACCAAGTATGGAGTCCTATTTGTGCGGATTTTCCTACAGCTCCAATAAAGAGTAAAACACAAATAGCAGTTAGTGCATGAATTTTCATATTAAAAAAAATGAAAGAAGGTTCCCACACAAAGGCACTAGCACAAGCAAAAATGGTTGAGCACCCATGGGCACGTATACAAGCAATGGAAGTGATTACGAGCCTTCTGCATCGGTTGAAATGACCACCTTCAGGAAGTGTCAAACAGTCGGCGGTCTGAGGTCTTTAGTGCTAAAAGCATTCTTAGGGAACCTTGCGGCCGTGTTCATAACTGCTTGGCGTAGCACTAGATGCTCACCAAACAGTTTTGGATGTCGATCGTATGGATACATCATATGATGCTTACAAGCAAGCAGCGGCTGATTGCAGGACCTTCTATCCGGTGTGGATCTTTGAGAGTAGATTTGACGCAATCCACCATTAGATCCATTCCGGCGAGGGGGACCTGCCATTCTGTCGCTGTTTACTGTACTCATCACGTGGGAATCGACGACGTGAGGAACCGACAATGAACATTCTTAGGGGACTTTGCGACGTTGTTTGGAACTTATTGGCGTAGCACTAGATGCTCACCAGGCAGTTTTGAATGTCTGTTATATCGACACATCATATGATGCCTTACAAGCAAACTGTGGTCAGATTCCGGCCCCCATCCCCGGTGTGGATCTATGAGAGCAGATTTGACGTAATCCACCGTTAGATCCACATCGGAGAGGCAGACCGACCATCCTGCCGCTGTTCAGTGTAGTCATCATGTGGGAGTTGACATCGCAAGAACCCGACGATGTTCCAATTGGGACGTGCTCTTGCTTCGTGATGTGCAGGTGCTTACCGGCAGTGCGTTCGATTCCCGCCTCGATGTGAAGCAAAGTGCGAGGAAATTGCTCAGGGTTTACACCAGAAGTGTCATTGAACTCGCACTTTGATGGAGAAGCAGGTGCGCACTTCATCAGCGGGATGATTTAATATGGACATTGATTTCTCATTTGTATATTCCCAGACGAAAATGCCATCAAATCTTTGTGTGTAAAAGACACATAGCCATTCATACAAGTATCTCTTGTCATCCCAGACATCGAGATGGAAACATCTCAAGTGGCCTAGTGTTTTTCCAAAGGTGAAGTCGCACAACACACGAACAGTTTTCATAAATCATTCAATGCAAAAAATTCATTCAATGGCAAATTGCAAAGTACAAAGAGGCGTTTTCAAAAATCATTGAATGCAAAAAATCATACAATCCAAAAATCACAAAGTACATGGAGTCAATTTCACATCCGGCAAGACACGGCTCAAATCACAATCTTCTTCACGATTTATCCATTTCGAAGGTCTGTGAAAAAAAAATTGTTATTTTTTGCGAATTTGCGTAAATGATCAGTCTCCCAGTGAGAACACAGAAGGTAACAATTTCGACAAATCATTTATTTTCGCGAAAGCCTCATATTGATCCTTCAGCGCCAAACAACGTCGAAACACATGGGCCAAGCACGCATACATTCTGGGAATAGCACAATTGATGATCATTTTGTCGAACTTGCAGTTATGAACAAGCTGGCGTTGACAACACAAAAAGTAATCATTTTGGCAAATTTGTGGACATGAATAGTTTAATCACAAATGCACGGCATCTGAAGTGCGAATATGTTCACATTTCTCATATGGAAACAACAGTCAGCATTCCGTGGAGAGCACGAGATGTATTATGGGGATAACAAAATTGGTAATCATTAGTGCACCGCTGAATCCGGAAAACAACTTCAAGCACACATACATTCTGGCGATAAGTGGTTTCGGAATGGAAAACAAGTTCGCAATTGTCATATAGAATCAACAGACAACATTCAGTGGAGACAAGCAGAGGGGGTGAACCGTAAAACGGGGCGGCACACGCAGAACAAGGGCGAGCCAAAACATGTGAAAGCTGGGCGGTCGGGGTGGGGCAGGGAGGGGGGCTTTCACACCACAAAGTCTCACGAAAGAAAGAGATAAGCACGAAATAATTTGGTGACCAAGAAGAAATCGTTGATATCTTTCACCAATATCTTGCTAAATGAACCAAAGTATCGAGCCCCACGAGCATGAGTGTAAACAATGTCCACAATAGGATGAAGACGTCCCATGAGTAACAGAGGAACACAACCTCGAAACGAACAAACGCAGCACGGTGTTGTCGCAGTCTGAGAGAACATAAGGAGAACAACCCGAAAATAAACAAAAGGAGCACAAAGTTGGGATATTCACATCCAATATGTAAGCGTGTACTTAAAAGGTACTGCACCACGTGGCTGGGATAATTACATCGGCATCTAAGCTTCTACTTCACGTAAACGTCCTTTGCTACCCTCTAGCTGATGTTGCGCGGCAAGCAATGAGAACAACCCAAAAACAAACAAAGGCAGCACGGCACTGCCGAAAGTCCTACGAGTAAAGATGACAGGTCCCACGAAATGAAGAATCCTTAAAAAATTGCTACAGCACGAGGCTGGGATATTCATATCGACACCTAAGCGTTTACTTGACCAAAACGTCCACTACAATCTGGTACCTCATCAAAACAACAGCACAACTCGAACCGGCCGACTGCTAGATTAAGTGGGAATAGATTCACACTTCTGCTTATGGCCTTTCGAAAAAAAACTACGCGTATTTTAACAACAGGGGTATTATTCAAAGCCTTGGGGTATGTCCACCACAATCCTCAACTTGATGTTTGCAATATCGCTTTGGGCTATCGGACATAGTGGCGGATAGCCGCGTGCAAGAAATGAAGTGAAGGCGAGCATGAAAACACCGCAGCTCGACCCGTCCGACTGTTGAGGGACACCATGAACAACCACCTTGGGCTCCGGGAGATCCAGTTTCATTTTGTGACCATATTGATAAACTGCTTCGTCCGCAAGCACATCGGAAGAAAAACCGCCATCGTCTTGTAGGAGGGAGTCGTAGTACTCCAACCCTTGTTCTCGGACACATAATAGGGTCCAATGCACTCGATTTTTATGAACAGGAATCAAGACCATGCCGTACGAGAAAATATCCATATCTTTTGTCCATTTCGCAACCCTTTCATGTTGATAGCCGCCACCGACGAGCTTGGTATAGAAAAAGAGACTGAAAATGTAAAGAGAGGGACCCCTAGGGAACGAAGCGTTGGCAAGCAAGGCGAAGTACGACTCCACCACCTCGTCGGAAAGCCATCCCCCCTAGACAAGAGTTTGAAGACTTTTTCTGGTCAACGAAATTGAACTGGGACCTCTCCGAACCGAGGAAACCACCTCGTGGCCGTTGCTGAAATCTCCGCAGACGTCCTGCAACATTCTCAAGTCCGTAGCGCTAAGCTCCTAAGTAGGCAAGGGAACGCGAAAACATGATGTAGCTCCAGGTGCACAAATACTCACGAACAAGTGCGAGGAGTGAGCACAAACCCCGGGGCGGAATGGCTAAGAACTGTCTGCCCTTTTCCCAGAAAAGTTGTATCCCCGACTGTTGAATGTGTCTTTCGCGATGTACTTAGGACACGGGTCTTTCAAGACACCCCGTTTGGCATCGTCATCAGACCCATCAGACAAAGCAGTAACGCTTTCAATAGACACAACCAAATGTTTCCACAGACCTTCCTCCTTATCTATTCCACAAGCCTTCAGAACCCTGACAGCTCTCTGGGAAAGGCGAGGCATCTGGACCCTTTTAAACAACCCTACACTTAACGACTTCTTCGGTGAAGCGTCCAATGACCTCCCTGAAAGACGTTTCTCGCGCACAGCTTTTAAAGGCTTCATGGGCAGGGATATTGACAACCTGACACCTGTAGAACATAGAAAACAACCCACAACCCACAAGCTTTTTTTTAACAAGTGGTAATAGGTACATGACCCCATCACATCAATTTGGACGATTATAGAGTTCGCTAGTGACAGATATGCAAGTGCTCCTATTCACAAATCTTACCGTGCTCGGGAGCCTTTTGAGGGAACTCGCCCTCATGTCGCGCCACTGCGCCAACGTCCATGGACGATGCGAAGTTCTGCACCTCGGCGACAGCTGTGTCGCTAACCAACTCGGTGGCAGTTGAGTCGCTAGGCAAGTCGATGGCTTCATGAAACACCATTTCCGGACCGGTACTGAGGACAGACGCTCGATCACCCTGTTCTGCACCGCAACGGGTGGACGGAGTATCATGATCTTTCCGCTCTGGATCCATCTTGATGCTGACTACCACCTCACCGCCTTCCACGGAGGATTCGACGTTCTGCACCTCGGCCACGCCTGAGTCGCTAAACCAGCTCGGTGGCAGCCGAGTCGTTACCGAACTCGATGGCTTCATGAAGAACCATTTCCCGACCGGTACTGAGGACAGACGGTCGATCACCCTGTTCTTCACCACAACGGGTGAACGAAGAATCATCATCTTTCCGCTGTGGATCCGTCTGGATGCCGACCGTCACCTCACCGCCTTCCACCACGGGTTCTCCGCCTTTCTCATCGCCATGAACCTGAGCTTCCACCACAGGTTCTTCTTCGCCTTCATCATCGCCAAGAACGGGAGCTTGCACGAATGTCCACTGACCTCCCTTAACGACACCCTCTTGCGTCGTGGCCACGGCCGAACGACTGTGCAGAACCTCTTCGGACGTCCCGATCACCAACACTCCTGCGTGAAGCCCCTTCACGACTTCGCGAATCGGCCAGTGTTGAGTCTCCTCTTCCCGCTGCAGAGCATGCATTTCCCCAGGAGTTGCTGCACTCTCGCTGTCATTGTCCACAGACGCACCCTTCGAAGCATGACCTTCCCACTCGCTACCCCCGGTCTCCAACGCTTTGCGAGACTGCCAGCGTTGAGTCTCCTCTTCCCGCTGTACAACACGCGTTCCCGGAGAGCGCTCCTCTTCCAAGGAGCCGCCGCACTCTTGCTGTCAACGTCGACTGGCACACCCTCCGAAGCACTCGCCAACCCCGGTCTCCAACATTCCTGCAGGGGGTCCCTCCAGCAAGTCACGAGACCGCCAGTCTCGAGTCCCAACATATGAGAACGGAGCTGAGCAGGGAAACCCTGTGCCCAACTGAAGATGTGGGGGGTAGGACGTCACATTTTCTTGGCCCTGCGGAACTGTAGCGTGAGGAGCACTTCTGGGAGAAGGCCTCAAGGGCGACGTTAGCAACTCCGAATCTATTCGGAGTTTGTGGCGCTCGCCCGAGCGGAGGGAACTGAAGGTCGCACCTTCGCTCCTTCGCAATCCAAGCATCCCGCCCTCCAGAAGTGCCGCCGTATGCTGCAGACTCTCGCCCTCTTTCAGGAGCAAGGTGTTGAGCACAAGAGACCTCTGCTGCGCACGGCGGGATGGACTCTCCTCGACAACGGGAAACAAAGTCCTCGCAGACAAGTGCGAATCTACTCGCACTTTATCAGACCTCAGGGTGGCCTCGACTCGCATGTCGGAATCTCGACTCCCTACATAGTGGGGGTCAGTTTCCATGTACTGGGGACTCCCTGACGTTCTACACTTTCCGCCCGACCCCTTTCCGCCCGACCCCTTCCCGCCCGACCCCTTTCCGCCCGAGTCCTTTCCGCCTGACCCCTTTCCATTGGACGCCTTCTCTCCTGACGACGTCTCTCCCGTCCCCTTTCCGGCAATCTGTGAGCCGTCTCCTCCGCCACCTCCGTCGTCTCCTTTGTCTCCTCCTCCACCCCCTCCCGGATGTTGACCGCCCGATGGAGGTTGCGGCATGCGCCAGTAAATGCCACGGGACGGTGCCGTTTCGAGTGTGTAGAAAGGAGCTCGAAACTCCAACATTTTGCCGGCGTACAACTCATTTAGCTTTTGTTCTGCATACACAACGACGTCCGGATCGCTCCTTTCGGGGTTCATAAGACTCAAATGCTTCACCAGAGCATCTCTCGCCGTTCTCTGAAATGTACCCGCTCCCAGTCTCTTCATTCCACTCCACTTGCCATCGGCCCCCTTCATTGCCATGACCCACTTTCCATTTTTCACAGCAGGTTGGAATATCCTCGGGTGCCAGACGATGTTGTGTCCCCAGACATCCTCCGGCGTGAACCGGTGATACTTGCCGAAGAAGTAGAGTCTGTCATTCTGCCAGGTGTCATGGTCCACAGGGAGCCTGTCACAAGGTTCGTGATCATAGTCTCTCTCTTCCTCCCCGTCATCAGACGATTGGTCGTCGACTGGTTAGCCCCGAAACACACGCTTCAAATCGGAAGGGGACGTGCTGTATCTCCGAGGACCACCTTCCCCTTCATCACCAACCTGTCCAACCACCCGAGGAAGTGGCATGGACTCGAAATTGAAGGTTTCGGAGTCGCTCAGCTCCTCCATGTCTTTAGCGTCGAAAGGGTCCTCCTCGTCAAACTGCGCCTTGTAGTTTTCGAGGGTGAGCGGCTTGGCCACCATGAAGTAAACGTGCTCCAGCCTTCTCAGGAAATGCGCGACAGACTCCCTGGGTGCATTGTGGTACCCATTCAACACACCGAACACCAGGTTTCTCCGTCGACTATATTCGAGGTCGGCCAGAGATGGCGGTCCGGGTTGGAAAAGGAAGTCCCAAACCTCCGTTCTTTTGTTCCCCGGCAATTTCCAATACATGTCACGTTTGGGATCCCAGTTTCGTTCGTCGGTGGTCTGGACAAACTCGCAAGCATTGCGAGTGTCTGCCACGTGTGTCTTACCGAACTCGTTAAGGTAATCGATCATCTTCGTATCGTTCTCCAACGCGAAGACGTTCCGACCGGTGCGCAGGAGCCCCCACACGACAGACGCATGCGCCTTCCCAAAGAAAAACACAGTTTGCCCAGCTTTGCAAAAGTTTTCAAGTAGACCAAGTAGATGGGACGCGTTCCGCTCCATCTCCCCGTAAGCAGCTCCACGAACACTTGTCACGCCGCCGTCCTCCCACATGTTACGAGAGAACCTTTCCTCTTCCGCCACGTCGAAACACGCCACAGCCTGTCCTAATGGGTCCGACAAACAGACAACTTTCGAGCGGGCCGCCAGCGCGTGTTTGGCCGGACTTGGACCATGAGCACGAGAGGCCTTTGTCGGGCTACTGGCCGGGTAGACTGCCACTGTGTTGTCTGCCAGGTTCTCGCCATTGAAAACCACGACAGGCGGTCACACTCCTCAACCAGCATATTGCCTTCCCGGACAGTAGCCTGCTTTTGTGCATGGCGCACCCACTTCCCTGTCCTGACGTGATGGACGCTAAGCCTGGCCATGCCTTTCAAAAAACTGAGCTCCCATCGAGAGGGGAAAAAGACCACAAGTGCCCTGTGCGTTGGCGACAGTGTTTGGAGAACGCCTTGCAAGTTGGCGAAATCGTCTTCTCGCCAGTCTGCGAGGAGTGTGGGATCACACAAATCGAGGACGTACAGGTTGCACACGTAATGTCGCATAATCTCACGGATCTCAGTGATATGACTGTGAGCTTGGGAAGGCGGGAAAGCGAAAGGAATAAGGTTGGTCACCCGGTTGAGGTTGGGCCATTTGATGTGCCTCACATCCCCGCTGACCCTGATCGTGTCTCGAACTTCTTCTTCCGTCCGTCGTAAGATGGAACGGACAGACTTTTCGAAAGATTTAGGGAACCTGTCATCCTCGTACAATCTCTTCGTGTCGTCGAGGGACTCCTTCTCGTGCGGAAGAGTACGTTTCGCAGTTCTGCCCACACTTGTCGAGTGAGGCGCTGCGGCCCGAATTCCTCCAGAAGCCGCCCCTCGGTCCGGAAAAAAGGGCTCTCGTAGCGCCAAATATCTTCGTCCTCCTCCGTTTCAAGGAACAAGATATAGTGAAACATCCGGAGCATCACGCGTTTCACTTTCCTCGTCTCGACCATGTCTTTAATTCCAGGTTTATGTTATCGTTTCATATGTCCGCCCGCCGATTGCACGAACACTCCCCTTTGTGCAAGAATGTCGTCGAGGATCGACAGTTTCTCGACATCGGTCATGTCCGCGAGACACTGCCAACAGAACATGTCCGGCTCCTTCATGATTACGAAAAACTTGTCGTCCGCTTGCGTTTCTTTTTTGGTTGGAGGCGGCGGGACCCGGACCAGCCACCCAATCTTCGTTTCGCCGGCCGCCCCTTTTGAGCCCATTTCCGGAATTGCTTGAAGACCCGGAGATTTTTCTAGCATGTATTTGCCCGGCCTCGACAATGGCGTCTTTCCGTCGCCACCCAACAACTTCTCCTCCGCCCATTTATCGTAAAACTTCATGCCTTTGCGGAAAACGTTATCAACGGCCGTCACGAGCGGCACCCACTGCCTCAATGCATTGCCAACGGCAACGACGTACTCCTTGTCGGCGAGTAACAAATCTTTTTTTGCCAGCGACCAGTGAGCGTTGTTCGGACTCTTTCCCAAAAGCAGCTTTTGGAATTCGAAAAACTTTTGTTTACTTGCCGTCGCACCCTCTTCCTTCGACGGCCTCTTTCCCGAGGGTTTCCTCCGCTGTCACCTCCATCCCCGCCTATCATCACCTCCGATTTTCCTCTCATCCTCTTCATGCGGAGGGTTTCCTCCGCCACCTCCTCTCGCACCATCCTCTGTCGCTCGCGCTTCTTCTCCGTAGAAGTCGGCTCCCCGCCAGAGCTTTCGCGGACAGCGCCCATCCCTTCAGCCTGATTCCCTCCGACATCTTGCCCCGATCTGCCGGATTCTCTTCTCGTCTCATCTCGAAGCGAATACGTGTCGTCCCCGCAGCAGACCTTGAGGATTTTCGGAGTACCGACCCGGTGAGTTCCTGCATCTGGAGAATGCAAGTCTGACGTGCTCCCACGAGCATCCGGGCCGACCTGTGTGTGAATGCTGCGCGCGAGCCCCTTGACCTGACCCCCAGCGTCGTGAATCACACGCCCGCGCCCCACTGTCGTCTCAGGAGTTTCTTGAGCCAAGCCGAACGACCCCTCATGGGGTGGCAGAAGCCGAAAAAACATGTTCTCGCGGAAGAACCGGATGTTGTTTCGACACCTTTAGCGCGAGATTGAGGTATTCCACTGGCGATGGAAGACGTTTGCTGCCGCCTTCGTAAAGCCCTTTGAAGTGATGGCACAACGTCATGTTCGAGTCATACCCCGCGAAACGCTTGATGGGCACTATCACACCCTTAACATCTCTGAGAGGCAGTCTGCACTCGTCGTACAAGCCGTTAGTGTGCAGCTTGAGCAAACCTCCAGCAACCCTGTCGTATGAAACGATGGCACCGAGAGGAAGAACGTTGTCCGCTCCCTCAGCATCCGGAAAGCAAGCGGGTCGCATGAAAACAACTGGCCCAAAAAGGTCCCCCTGAACAACGAAGTCCAAAAACCATTGTGTTTTTCTTGTGTGGATATACTGAGGACTAGATCGCTGAAGAGTTCGTCCCTCCCCGGGGGCAGATGGTTCAACGCTTGTGGATGTGTTGTTTGCGGACGCCATTGTACTCCCATCCATTGACTAATACCCCCAACCTCAGACCAAGTCGGATGACCGGAAGGAAAGCAACAAGGTTTTCCCAACACTACAGAATCAAAGTGCGAACTAACTCGGACTTGACGAAATGGAGGACGATTCCCAATACTACAGTAGCAAAGTGCGAACTAACTCGGACTTGACGAAATGGAGGACGAAAAGGACGTAAGAGATGGGTGTTCGAAATGCACACGAAATCACAACAATCAGGTAAAGGACAAGAAAGACAACAACTCTTCGGAAAGATTGCGACCCGACTCGCTGCCCTCGAAACGAGTAAGATGTGGTTTATCGACAAGTGCAAAGGGTGTCGACAAGTGCGAAGTAACTCGCAGTTCTGGAGACAAGACAACAATTGCAACCCGCAGTACTAGGGGAAAGTGCGAACTAACTCGGAATTGTGGAACTGAAGACCTGAAAGACACACGGCATGGGTGTCTACGAGTGCGAACTAACTCCCAGTTCTGGAGACGGAGGTTATCAACTCCTCCAGCAGTGTTGCTAAAAAAGTGTGAACTGACTCGCAGTTGTGGAAATAAAGAACTGCCTTTAATTAATGAAATATGTGTCTAACCTTGGGAAGACTGCGAATTAACTCGCAGTCGCAGTGTACGTCGCAAACTGCGAACTGACTCGCAATACATATATATATATATATATATATATATATATATATATATATATATATATATATATATATATATATATMWRKTCGGCGACCTCACAAGGGACAGGTGAGCGAAAAACGGGAATTGATTCGGTGTTCAGTGTAGAAACTAGGTATTGATGCGCAGTGACGACTACAAGTTGCGAAGGGGATCGAGCAGCTTTATAAAAACGTTATCGTGGCTATGACGAAAGGTAATCGAGCTGCGGAACGCGGATCGGCTATGGCGGACGGAGGTGGAGGGTAGAGAAAAAACATCAGAACACGTCCAGTGGTGAAACAACAAAACCGAGAATTGATTCGGAGTTCAACATGCGGCAACTGCGGTGTTATATCCTGCAGGTAGAGACAGGGCATCTGGGAATCTGTTCGGACATCGGACACAGAATAGGGCAAATCAAGTTACAGAATTTCGCCTTCGTCGTGCATTGAGCGAGCGACCAACATCAGACGGATATGGATGTGCGACCACCGAACCAGCGATGGTGGAGGGATATCGAGCTAGGAAGAGCGAAGAGTGAAGAGCGAAGAGTGAAGAGCGAAGAGTGAAGAGCGAAGAGCGAACCGAACACAATGCGGCAACTGCGGACAGAGGGATATCGAGCTAGGAAGAGCGAAGAGCGAAGAGTGAACGGGCTATGGCGGAAGGTGGGGGGGGTTGAAGACCAAATATCAGAACGCGTGCGGAAGCGATAGCACGACTTGACCTGTGGAGCGACAACAAAAGGGATAACGTGAGGGCTGCAACGCCTTTTATACTTCGCTGCAGCAGGCCTCGCGTCAGGATCGAGGTGGGGCCGAATCGATTCGCATATCGCACCCCTGGGCCCATAAAACGCCAGGGCCTATAAACGGGTAAGAGGTACCAGAAATTGTCAGTCGTCGATCAACAATTTTCAACGGCGCAGATGAACGGAGCCACTGATATGCCAATGGCCACAAAATCTCCTTCAACTCCAGCGTGCAATGATGTGACAGTTCCCGAAAACAAGGGGCAGGCTGATCCGACGCACGAGATCAGGCGCAAGAATCTATAGAATCTATATGGTGCGGTGATTCGTTGTGCGCCGAGGTGGTTCGTTGCGCGTCGAGGCCAGGCGACGGTGTATTGCGCGCCAAGGCCAGACGATTCGTTGTGCGCCGAGGTCAAAAACACCGAAAATCTATAAGTTTCGGTGTCGTTGTCATTCGGACATTTTGCAAATGTCAACGGCGTTTGATATCGATGCGCTTACCCATGCACCATCGCCATTGATGCGCTTAGCTCATCGCCATCTCCAACGTTTGGCATGCACCATCGCCATCGATGCGCTTAGCTCATCGCCATCGTGACGCAAAGCTATATCCCCCATCGCAGCGGTCGCGCTCGCCTGACCATCACAGCGCTGACAATCGACATCGCTCCCGTCGTGGCGCCGGCCATCGTTATCGCTGCCATCGCAACGCTGGTTCCATCGTTGCGCCATCTCTCCATCGGTGCGCCATCGCTCTCCACCGCAGTGCTGACCATTCCCCATCGCAGCCGTCGTGCTCGCATGACCAGCGCAGCACTGACAATCACCATCGCTCCCATCGCAGCGCAGGCCATCGCTATCGCTGCCATCGCAGCGCTGGCCATTGTAACGTGTTCCATCACTGCGTCATCTTTCTCATCGTCATGCCATCTCTCTCCATCGCTGCGCCATCGCTCTCCACCGCAGTGTTGGCCATCCCCCATCGCAGCCGTCGCGCTCGCCTGACCATCTCAGCGCTGACAATCGCCATCGCTCCCATCGCAGGGCTGGCCATCGCTATCGCTGCCATCGCAGCGTTGGCCATTGTAA